ATTTTTTTATTTTTGCAATGAAAACAAATTTTATGGACAATTGTAAAAAAAAAAAAAAAATCTCTTTAATGGACAATTTTCATGGAAAGTAAAGTCAAACGAACACCAAAAGATCCAAAATTTCAACATTTTTCAAGTAGAAAATTATACCAATAAAACACAATTAATTACAATTTCCAATAAAATAATTTTTAGACAATTCAATTCCCTGAAATTCATTTTCTTTTCACCCATTTTCCACATTTGCAATTAAATGGACCCTAATTGCTTTTCTACTGCTCTTCTGTTCTAAAATTTGACAAGAAAAAATTGTTGCAGTACCAAAAGGAATGGAATAAAGCCTATAACCTACGTCCACTTTAGAACAATGGAGAAGAAATTGAGCCTATCTCAACAATAGCCCGGGCTTAAAATTGATGGCTTACTTAGAAGCTCACTTAAAGACACTTTACGGCCAATAATTCTATATGCATCTTTTTGTCTAGAGCTACTAAAAATGAATATCATATTTAGATAGTGAAGTGATATTTCTCACTTTAAAAATGATCGTGCAAGTTCTAAATTATGACGTCACACTTAAAAAGTAACTTAAAGATACTTTACGAACAAAATTAACGACTTGTATAATATTCACAAAACATCCAGCTTCTTAATTTACTAGATCAAAGCATTCCAATGAAGGAGGTTGAAAGGGTTGAACCTTGAAATTTAACGGTAGACTTTTGTTAGGAATTTACAGAGCAATCCAAACACAATATTTAGCATAACAGAGTTCTGCAGGTTCACTTTTAACCAATATCAGTTCAATAACCAATCTCATAACCAACATACCACAATGTAACCAAACTACTGTATAATAATAGCATATTGTAGGCCACAGTTCACAGCAATCAATCGCTCAAACCAGTATACATTTACATATACAGAAATCAGCAGAAAACATGAACTATAGAAACCGACAGCTAGAACATCGAATGTATAGAAACAAGAATAAAAGTTTAGAGCTTCACTTCCCTTTTTCGGTAGTTCATTTCGGCCGAATGCATAGGCTCAGGAACAGCTTCCATGCTATGCAAAAACGCCATCCAGAGAGAGTTTAGAATGAACCAATGTCTCCAACAACTTGGCTAAGGTCATTGATTCAAATGAATCTCCCAAGGCAGCCAAGAACCCCTAAATCTGACCTAACCCTCTGGAATAAGCCGAATAACTCAACCATGTTCCAGGTCTGAGCATCACACATGTATTTCCCTCAAGAATAGGTTACCAAGGCCAATTTAGGGTGTAGCAAGGGGAGGAATATGGGTGTCGATAGAGAGCAGAAGAACTCACAACATCGAAGAGAGAACGAGAGAGCAAGAAGAATTATCCAATAGTCAAAGCCCAAATGAAATATCAAGAGAGGAATTAATCCCTAACTGTAGATCTAAATCAAGGGCCACAAATAATCCTCAACAAGCACACGATCCAGGTCACACCTAAGCTACCAGTCGGTGAGTGACACCTAAGCAACATTAGGTATGGGTAAAGAACCAGCCCAACTAAGTTAGGAGAACCACTTAAGCCCAATAAGCCCACAACTTTAAGAGTCACACTCAGTATTCTAGATAATCACTTTTATCCTTAGTCTAGAGCTACTTAAAAAAAATAAAATTATACTGTAATGTCACTAAAAAAATTAGCTTATGAAACTACTAATCTCTTGACAACAGCAGTACTAAATTTGTTTTTATTCACTGTATAACGTTCAGTCCCGTAATCACATGATTTCTAGCCGTTTCTCTAAACTCGACAATAATTAATTATAAGCAATCAACTTAGATAGTATACTAATAATTTATTCACCTTATCACCACTTTCTAAATTGATTAAATATATTGCCCACTTTTTGTTTACACCTATTATAAATACACTATCTGTTTCCACTCTATGCAACTCCCAACCTAAAAACTTCTGTTCTACACAACTTTTAGGATATATATATACATAAAAATCTCTCTTTTTTGAAGGTTTGTCTGAAGATTTTTGAAGGAAAAATGGGTGGAAATTCCCCCTGCGCTTCATGCAAGCTGCTTCGACGCAGATGTGCCCAGGATTGCGTTTTTGCTCCTTATTTTCCATCCGACAATCCTCACAAATTTGCCATTGTTCACAAGGTTTTTGGTGCCAGCAATATCAACAAAATGTTGCAGGTCTCTCTCTACATCTAGATCTCTCTCTCTCTCTCTCTCTCTCTCTTAACATGCAACAAATACACAGACAAAAGGTTCTATGCATTTTGTTCAACTTTCGTATAAACTTGCATTTGTTCTTTCTTTAGGTGATGGTGGTGAGTGTTGTGGGTTAATTTTTGGATTAAGGTCAACATATGTTTGGTAAGTTGACCTAAAACGTTATACAGAACTAAAGATTATAAGAAAAATAGGTTAAAATCTTGTTTATTAGTTATACTGGTATTCCTAACTAGTGCTGCGTACCAAAGTGTCCATAAGGCTTACTATGTTAGTCTTATTTCAATAATGCTGCTTGCACACGGTAGTTGACAGGGGTTTTTGACAGGTGCTGTGTTGGCGACAGTATGGATGTTTTATTTTTTTCAACTGTTCAATAAAATGCTCCCATGGAGTCCCCTATATTTTAATTGTGTCACTGACCTTGTCTATGTAGCATGATCTTGTAATTGGATTGAATTCATTTCTTCAGTCTATCTACTTATACTGTGTAGTTCAGTACCATGTCTTAAGCTTGTAGGAGTACTGTCTAACATGATTTTTTCTCTATACTACCAGGAGCTCCCGTTGCACCAAAGAGCGGATGCAGTGAGTAGTCTAGTATATGAGGCGAATGCACGAGTAAGGGATCCAGTTTACGGTTGCGTTGGTGCCATATCTTA